TTGGGGAAGCGTCTCAGACATTTCTAATAACAAAAGTTGTGAATCTCCACACTAGCAATCCATCTACAAACAAGGACATAACCGAGCCGTGAAACTACTCAATTAAAATATATCAGCCATATTTATCGACCTGCCTGATCAGGTCACTGAGAGCCGCTTTAGAGACACTGCACACACTGCGTTAGGCTAGCAGCAGCACCTGCAGCCAAGCCCTGCCAGCTATGAAACCAGGGGGTCAGATTTCCCAGGTGAAAACAAAGACTTTCCAGATTACTAGGCCACTTGCAAAGATAAGACCTGTGCTTTTTGTATGCACAAATTCACCATTGAAACCTGACCCTTGAAATATTGCTGTTTCTTACTATCTGAGGGGCTGGGTGTAAAGCAAATAGAAATAAGACTGGTATCTAAGGCTGCCTGGTTCTAGCTAATATTTTTCTGGTTTGGGTTAAGCTTTGTGGGCAGTATCAGCTGCTTTCCATTCAGATGAATATACAAAAAGCCACCAGCTGTGCTGCAGGAGTGCTGTCTCCAGCACTGCCAGGCCATGTCCCCTCGATCCTGGCCTGACTTCCCGGCCCCACCTTGGTCCCGGGCAGGAGCACGGGACTATGACTGCCTTGTCTGGTGGCAGCTATATGCTCAAGGAAGCAGAGCTAGTTGGAGTCTTTGTAAATAGAGAACTCTTGTAACTACAAATGTCTGGTTTGGTCAGGAATTTCTCCGAAAAGACAATGAATGGGACACTGAATTTTGTCCTATTTAGGGTCAAGAAAGCTATGCAAAGCACGTGACTGATTTCACCGCGGTGCCGAACATGTGTGTCAACAAGAATGCAAGAGGTGCCTGTCTCGATGGGAGCCCTCATTCTTTGTCTCACAAAGCCCTTGTTTTGTACAGGCTCTGGGGCCAAAGGGATTTTCTCTTTTGCAATCTGATCCTTAGCTAGAAGCTTGGCATGGAAACCTCCCCATCGCAGAGCACAGGACGACGAGGCACCAGAACAATGGAGCTTTGTCACCAGTCTGCCCTCACCGAAGAAACTGAGACCCCCCCCAGTTCTCTGCCTAGTATGGCTAAGAGCTGGTTAACAGCTCATGCCATAATGAGGTGGATCCTGGGCCTTACAGAGTATGAAACACAGGCAGGGATCAATCCTGAGGTTGGTCCCTCAACATCCCCTTCCCCAATTTGGTTCGATTACCAAGAAGTCATACCTCCTTTTCTTTGCATGTTTTCCTATGGAAGTTCATGACGTTTTGCCCAAATCTGGTAGTTTCACATGTTGCTCTGTAGAAAAAAAAAAATAAAAAATTGACAAATCAGCTCTTTTTTTTTTCTTTTCCCCAGCTGGAAGTGACTTTTATATTTTCATATATTCACCTTACAAACTGCCACATTACTGGGGGTCTTCTCAGGGATTTGCTGATGCTATAGAAGCAAGTATAAGAACTACAGAAGCAACTATAAGAAGCAACTATAAAAGCAACTATAAGAACTACAGAAGCAATTGCATTAGTTCTTCAATGCCTTCCCCCACATTTTTATGTTTAGTGAATGGGCTTCTTTCAAATCACGCTATGGGTATTTTCAAAAACTTCTGGGAGCTGAAAGAGTAGGTCAGCAATAAGGAGCAGCACTGGATATGACAATGCTTGTCTGTTGTATTGGCAGATCATTCTGAGATGCAAACCAGAAGCAGCAGATGCTCTGTTGACAGCTGTCCCCAGGATACTTGGAGCCAAAGGAGTTCAGAGGAGGAGGGACAGGCAGGTAGAGGATGAAAGAAGGTCTGAGCCGCTCAGTCAGGCAGTAATAAAAGAGAAAAAGGGGGATGTTACCACGTCACTGCTGCTGCCTATAGTATTTTATACCCCCCAGCTTGGTGGCTGCAAGTACAAGGGAGCCTGCTGGACTCTGAGCTGCTGCTGAGCAATTCTTAGTAGTTACTGCACAGCGTATTAGCTGGATTAAGGCATTGGACAGAGATTTGTATGGGGCATTGTGTCAGAAGACTATTTTAAAAAAATTGGTCTAATTATGTTGATGTTAACTCCAGAGGAACTCGTTTCTGCAATTTTTGTTCAGGGCAATGGCCATAACTCTAGGTGAGAATTTTGCTTACAGCCTTAGGCCAGATTTGCAAAAGTATTTGGGTACTGAAAGATAGAGATAGACTGCTACCAGGGTATTCATTCTTTTTTCCCTGCTTCATAAAATTCTTCTTGGCACAAGTCTGATTTGTTTGGCTCTCATATATCTTGGAAATCTGGCACTGTGTGGGTAATCAGGATGTGAAAATAATGGGAGGTCAGACTTTAAAAAAAGTGAGGCTGTTTTTTACAGTATCAGGTCTGGCATGCTATTAAGCTGTTATTACAACAAAGTCAGAATCTCTCACAAAGTGAGAGCAGAAACAAAAAAATCTCAAAAAAAAAAAAAAGAAAAAAGAAAATGAAGAAATACAGAAAGTCTACTTTTAAACCCCTTGTCATGAAGATTTAGATGATTTACTTTTGCATTCACTTTTTTTTTTTTTTTAACCTTTTCTCTAGAGAATTATTAGATGAGTGTAGAATTGTAAATCGAGCACATAGATCTTTCTACACACTTGCAGAAGGAGAGATCTGAAATAACATCGCCGACATCCTTAAAGCTGGTAAGGACAGTCACTTGTTCAGGAAGGTTAAATATATCCTGCAACACTGAGCAAATCAAACTGCACAAAGAGGGGTGTCAGGAGATTGTAACGTGTCCTAATCATGAGGATGATCCTCCAGCTTTTTCTTTCTTTCTTTCTTTTTTTTTTTCCTTCAAGGGTGAGAAATAGAATGGTTCTTGAATATGTAGATCAGTATAATTTAATTAGCTTTTATGACCAGGACTCCTCAGAGATAACCATAAAAGTCAATTAGACTGTATTAAAATGCAGCCATTTCCCTGAAGCTTCTGTGAAACAGCCTTTACTTCTTCAGGAAAAATGGTAGAAATCTTGATATACGTAATTTAATAAAAAGAACTGGTCACATAGAAAGAATGCTGTTGTCTTTTTTAATATAAGAGATTTCCTTCTGCATTTTCCCAGTTCCTGAACTGCATTGTAACATGCAGGTCATACCTTGGGTTTATGTATTTATGTGCCGTACCAGTCAGCCAGCATGACAATATGATCTTGCAGTCCATTTAAAATTGGATTTGAAGAAGATGGTTAGCAAAGTGTAGTGCCTCGGGGCACAAGCTGATTATCTGCAGGAATCAGGAAAGGGATGTGTCCCAGCTGTACTCCCCCTCCTAATTCCAGATGTTACACACACAGCTGGCTGAGCACACAGGAAGATGTGCAAATACCTCACCATGCGGCCAGATGATCACATCTCAATCGATGCTTCCCTTCCTCACCCTTGCCTCTCTGTATTGTAATCAAACTGCCTACATGCAGGATGCATTTTAAGAGCAGCTGAGGTGATGCTCACTGACCATCCCATATTTTCCTGCTTGGCCTGCCTGCCTCCAGCTCCACATGGCCACCATCAGTCCAGGCACGATGGCTGTCGTCCTCGAGGTGAGGCTGCCTGTCACCGCTGTGGGCTTGGTCTCCAGCATTGTCTTCAGGTTGCTGCAGAAGCAGAAGCTTTTTAGGGTGGGAATCACAAGCACCCTCTTGGTATCTCTAATGAACGTTGGATATCTTACAAAATATTCAACATTATTGTTTGGTTTTGCTGTCTTTCCGCTGAACAGCACGTTCTGGCCATTACTAACAGCAGGATTCTAATTTTAATTGCCCGGATCAAGCACACCCTCTCTTAATCACCAGTCAGGTCTGGTTATGCCAGGAATGGCTCGTATTATTCCTGCAGGTATGGGTCGGCCAGAGCAGATGCGGGGAGCAGTGAGCAGCCTAAAACCATGGAGCCTGGCCCACCAGCATCTTGGCGCGCCCATGGCAAGCTTGCAGAGAAGGAGCAGCAGAGCAGCTGGGCATTTTCCCCATCGCAGCCGCAAGCATCCGGCCCAGAGTTCCAGCAGAGCCTTATTTATTTCAATTAGCTCATTAGGCCTTTCAAGCCTCTGTGCTTATCTGAAAAAATAAATATTTGCTGTACAGCACGTCACATTGCTCGGTGTTATGTTCTCTGCGTAAAGAAGGGCCTTGCAAAGAATACCACAAAGAGCTTGTTATAAATTTATTGTGAGGACTTTGGTTCTGATTTTTTTATTTTTATTTTTATTTTTATTTTTTTTTTAGGATTAAAGTCTCAGGGTTGATGCTGCATTAGTTTGACATTTCTGCGGAAAATATTGCATTTCATAACAATGCGCTCAAGTTCCACTGGAGAGAGACAAGTAAGCAGCAAACAAAACTCATGTCAAACTTGGGGCAGATAAGAACAAGTATCATTTTGAAATCTCAAGTTCTTCTCCCCTTTGTTATGGCATAAGGAGAAATATTCGAGCGTTAGCAGCCGTGGCACTGAGGTGACGGCCCTTGCATCGATGTAGTTAATCTGTCAGCAATTCCATCAGCAAACCTGTTTTTCAGACCTGTTAGCTGTGGTCTGAAAATCAATTCCAGACTTAATCAGGGACAGAGGGGTGTATTCCGGTGTCCTGCATGCTGGCGATACGCATGCATTGCTGGGGAGAAGAGATTCCAAGGTCTCAGACCATGAGAAATTTTATGCTTACAATATTTATGACAGAATATCACAGCTGTGCTACAGACTGCAGAAAAATAGACAAAATAGGTGATTCAAATGCAAAATAGTTTGTTCCTCTGATGGAAATTCTTTGGCCTTTTGGCCTTGTACTACAATCCCAGGCATGTAAAAATTGTGCTGGAGCTCACCACTTGTCATATCTCACCACTTAATTATTAAACGTGCTCAGTATGGCACGGTTGCTCTATAATAAAGTCTGCCATTACTTGAGCAAACAAAATTCCTCGTGCTGTTGTCCTCCCAGACAGTCAGTACCTGATAAGGGCCAATGCTGCGGCTCCTAGCCGAGCCAGGACCCCATGGTGTGAAGGAATTTAGGGGCGATGCCTGGGGTGATGCCCTTTTCTTTGTGAAGGAACAAATCCTGCCTCCTCCTCTCCAGCTGGAAGGCAGGATAGGGATGCTTTAACACAGGCAGATATGACCAGAGACCCCAAAACCAGGATCGTCGAGGCAGACACGACAGCAATTCATGCAGAGGTGCCTTCAGCTGCAGGGAGCTGCTGGGCTCGGGGGAGCTGAGCAGCATCGCATCACTGGGCGATGTATTAAATGCAACCTGGACAGAAAGCTGCAGCTGGGGGCTGCCTTGGGAACACCTGCAGCCTGCTCAGCCTTCATGCTGCTCCTCTGGATGGAAAAGGCTCGGTTCTAGGTAATTAACCTAATCATTCGAGGTACTTTCTTGTGAAGGCAGATAACCCAGTACTTGCAAACCCAACCCTATAAGAATAGCTCTGTGCTGAACCTTGGGCCATCCCACCCCACAAAGCTTTTTCATGGATTGGAAATGATTTCACTGTAATGTCTTGACCTCAGGGCTCAAAGGGGGATCTGGCAGCAGCCCTGTACAAGAACCCGTGTGGGAAACACGTCATTTCCCAAGATGTTGCTCCAATGCTGCACACAAAGAGGAATCGCTTCAGACAGCACAAGGTGAGTTTTCTGGATCACAAAACTCTGCCAAAGTAGGGGTAAAATGTAAACAAATAAGGGAGTAAATAAATATGTCTTCTTTTTCCTTTATCAGACAGGAGCTGGCAGGTAGTATGGACAAAAACAACAGCCCTGCAGGAAAAAGCTGATGCAAAAGCCTGGACTGAGGAGGTCCTTTAATGTTTAATCACAGAACCTCTTGTCCAAACAGCTGAGCTCTGTGTAAGGCCTGGATGTGTTTGCTGTGTGTGGGAGACCTCTGTTTGCAGGGGGAGGAGAGGCTCTGACCCGTATCGCCCTGAGCAGGAGCGTGCACCCTGTCGGGGTCTGCAGCCTAACGCGCGCTCCTGCCCTGCTGAGCACACACATCGCTGCTTGCACTCACGTGTGGCCTCCCCACAACGTGCACTTAGGCTTTCCCCATCCTTATCGCAGGAGGGAACAAGGAGTTTTCCCGTTGTGAAGGAAATTAATGGAAAAAAAAAAAGAATCCGGGGAAATTGGCCATTCTTTTGGCTGATTGCCTTCGGTTTTCCTACTGGCCGTGTCGGGGTTCAGCTTTCCTGAAGGAATGAACAATAATCTAATTAATATGCTTACTCTAGTATAATGGAGCCTAAAGATGCCTTCAGCTTGTCGCAGCATGCACTTTTAAATTTTTTTTTGCTCTGCAGTAACATTAAAACAGCCAGACTTTCAGCCCTGCAAACTGTGGATAATGAATTTCTTTCATCCCAAACAATTTACTCCCCTGTGTATTAAAACACTTAACCAGATCAGTTGTATTTGTACCAATGCGTGCTCTGATGTGCGCAGCAATGGAAAAAAAAATAAAAGAGCAATCAGCGTGCAGTAATGATTATTTTCTTGGTAAATGCTTTTTTTTTTTTTTCTTTTTTTTTTTTTCTTTTCTTTTTCTAAAAATGATGGAAATAAAGTCGCATATTTCTCAGTGAGAAGTGAATGCTGTTTACACAACCAACATGAGTAATGAAAACAAGTATATTCCCTCCTGCCCTTGTTCTCTTTGGACCCCATCCAGCATTGAGTGAAGTCGGTGAGAGCTCTGCTGCTGACTCGTTCGGAGCAAGGCTGGAGCCGCTGTCCGCAGTCAGCATTCCCCCCCAGCAAGCACGGCTCTGGAAATGCTGAAGAGTCACTCGGAGAAGGCAGAGATCATCAAGATCGTGTTGAGAAGGAACATCTAACTAGGGGAAAGGGAAAAAAAAAAAAGAAAAGATGGATTTAAAATAGAGTTTTGCATGTTTTTTTTTTCTAACATTCTAGTTTCTGAGGCATTTGGCTATATTTGGTTATATTTTTAGGCTCACTTCCAGGAGCAGACTGGAGAACTAAAGGCTTTGTGAAAGTTAAGATTTCCACATAATCGCCTGACTTCAAAAACTGGCACTCAGAAAGAAATACCCCACCCTGCATCGCTTGTTAAAGTACCTATATTTTGTAAACATGCAACTTGAAGCTAGCCACATGAATAAGGTCTAAACAATATAATTCTCTTTCTCTCTCTCTCTCTCTTTTTTTTTTTTTTTTTTACATTTTATTCAACAGTGTAGAAATCATGCAGTAAAGGGACCGTCCTTTTTGTTTTGGGGCTAATCTGAGTTCTTCTACAAACCCGAGTGGGACCAACGTCAGAGTTACAAAGCACAGGAACCTTTTCTAAAGCAAGTCCCAGAAACGCAGTTAATTTTCCCAGTAAAACGGACCTTTAAGAAAATCATCCTGTGCTCCAGAGAACTGAAAAGCCGTGGTTTGGCCTGTGGGGGTGGGATGCCCCCGCACAGGACTCGCCCGCTTGCTGCTGTGACGTGGGCTTGAAACTGGTCCCAGCTTTCAGCCATCGGCTGCAGGGGGAGATTTGCCCGAGTGAATACAGAGCTAAGTGCAACTTTTCACTCCGACATCTGCAAGGGCAGAGATTGTGCTCTGCCAGCCGGCCTCTCCAGCCTTTCTTGCTCCCTGGGGTGATTTCTCTTGATTTCAAAGCGTACGAACTGGGACTACTCATGCGGTTGCAAAAACAATGCAGATTAATGAGAGGCACTCCCTATTAGGTGACCCTTGGAAAGCCTACTCCGCAGGCACTGAGAGGCAAGAATTTTGATTCCATTTTGGTCAGACAGATGAAACCATAAGGCTTTTTCCCATCAGCAGCATCCTCAGCGTGGAAACGCTACGGTCAATTTTTATGTCCTTTTGGCAAGTCTGCACTCAGCACCACACATTTCCTGCTAGGCATCCACGGTGCAGGCCTTTAAAATTCATTATAGGTGATCTGCTGCAAAAGAGAGTATCGAGGCCGTGCATTTTGGCCACCCGGATCTATACTCTCCCATTGTCAGATCTATACACCTCTGCCGTAATCAAAGCACAGGCGAGCAAAGCACACTGAGAAAATGTTCCCAAGGAGATCGCCGCATCTTAATCGTTGCCTTGCGCCCCGCTTCGCACCGTTTCTTCCGGGGCTGGGCACATATCCCTTCAGCTGTATATTTTCAGCGCCTGTCACTGCCAAATAAATTATTCAGCATTGTTAGATTACTTATAAATGACACCAATCAATTAACACCACGGCCGCCCGTCTTTGGGGCTTTTGTCAGAGGCCGGGGTGGTAAAGCTCTCAACTCCACATTTCCCAGTCAGAAGGCTTATGGTAATGACAGCTTATTTTTATTGAATTTTTAATTGATGAGTAATATCTCTGGGCTCGCTGTGCTAACATTAGGTCTAGGGAGAACTAATCTCTTGAAGGAGAACGTGATCCGAGCAGAGCTGCCCTTCCCCAAACAAAAGCCCCGCTCGAATGTGGCACCGAGCACTGATGTGAGCTTGCTTCTGTTTGCTGACAGTGCACTAAATTCACTAAATATCCGGGCCTCTTCCCGGCACAGGGCTGCACAGGCCTGGAGGAGACCAGCATTGACATGCACTTCATTTATGCCCTGTAATAAGGTGAGAAGAGTGGGGTGGCTCCGGGTCATCTGCAACAAAGCCTGCATGGCAAAACACCTGACCCCCAGGAAGGTTTGGCTGGTGTGCATGCAGGGCAGGCCAGGCGGGGAGCTGTATTTCAGCACTGGCAGAGGATAACACAGCTGATCCCGTGCCTTCCGTGCTGCTTTAAAGAACAGCAAAGCTTCACGATGACGGATAAATACAATTATCCTGCAATAAACGTGTGCGTTGAGGACAAAGAGTAGCACAATGAGTACAAAGAGTAGCTCTTCCATAAAGATTGAGCACGTCTTTCCAGCTGCTTGAGTGTTTTATGCCTAAATCTTCCGTGTAGCCCCATGGACTAAAACCGGGCTGTGCAGGGTCCAGCCGAGCTCACTCTATAATGTCACCAGGAGCTGTTTAAGAACACATGCAGGCTGTGCTGACATGGATTGATTCATTAAGGGTGATGGCAGAGTCTGAACTGGAAGGTGCAGCGAAGACGATGATGAATTTTAATGTGGCCGGTGGCTACTGTTCAGCAGATATGAAATTGGAAATCAATGCTAGCTATTAAATACAAATGGATGCTACCTTTACGGTTGAAGCAGCCTTCCATTCCCGATCTTTCAGCGTGCTAGGGGAACTCTGGCATGAAACAAGAAAGCTCCCAGCAGCAACCCCTGCGCTAGATGTGCTGCTGGCAGCTGAACTTCACACCTGAGCCTTGGTCTCTGCGTCCGGGAGATGCGTGACTGCATCTGAACATAAGCTACATAAGCTCGTGTGTCTTTCTAGGTCTCGTGCTCAGGAGGAAATGTGCTGGAGGCGAGGAGTGTTTGGTGGGTGCGGTGATGCCCGAGCCTGCTGGCACCAGGCAGGCTGGCCCAAAGCATCAAATTAGAGCGCAAACCCTAAAATTGAGGAGTGACTGCATCCTGGCGGGGAGGTGTGGCAGGAGGAGTGTGACACAGCAGGGCACCCCACAAAAAGCACAGGGAAATGCTACAGGATGTCCCCTGGCCTCCAGCACGGTGCCAGGAGTGGCTGGAAGGGAAGTCCCAGCCTCTGCCTGCCAGGGAAGCAAAGTCCCCTGTGATGGGGGAGCAAAGTCCCCTGTGATGTGAGGGCACACGGTGTGCCCTTGGGGGAGTCGAGGGAGCATCAGGGGGCTCCGTGCTGCGTTTTGCCTAGGGCAGCACTTTGCCATAGCCCAGCTGTGCTCCTGCATAACGCAGACACAAGGTGTGTTAGCCTCCCGTGCACCGGCGTCTTGTGTTCTCCCCCTCTATTGGCAATGCACAATGTGGACAAAAACTGTTTTGCAGCTTCATAATAAAATATTGGAGAAACTGATAATGGAGTTTCCTCTCCCCTGAAGCAAAGCGATGAAGAAAGAGTATCCCAACCTCATTTAAATATTTGCTGGCTCTGTTGACACTGGAACATGGAGCTAAGTCCCTAATTAAATGAGAAAACAATAAACACAACTAGAAAGCTATTGGTTTTCATTAATTCTCATCTAGAATATCCTCAAACAGTGTCTAACAAAATGAGCATCATATTTTAGAAATTCACTCTCCAGATCTCTCGAGCGTAATCAGTGGTGTTTATCATGTCCTCTCCCCTTCTCCACTGAAGGAGCAGAGGAAGGCAGGGATGCTGTTCCTAGGATGTGGGCAAGGTGCAACAGGGATTTCTAGCACGTGTGCGCTGGAAACACGTGGAAGTCAGGAGGGTGGACCCTTGTGCACAGGGTCCACAGACAAGCCCCATCCAGCACAGCTGGTCCTGGCACCAGGAGCAGAGCTCATGAGACACCAGCTCTAGTTAGGAGGGGCATTGATGCATCATCCATCCCTGAAGATCACCATCCCTGGAGGTCTTTAAAAGATGTTTAGATGTTGAACTTAGCGATATGGGTTAGTGGAGGACTGGTTAGTGTTAGGTCAGAGGTTGGACTCGGTGATCTTGGAGGTCTCTTCCAACCTAGATGATTCTGTGATTCTGTGATCACTGTGTTATCACCACTGTGTTATGTTTTATTCTGTATTAAAACTTGACTGACTCCTCCCATTATGTATTTTAATTTTACCTTGCACTGGCTCACACATGCATTGGCAACTGGGTACCTACCTCTCCTTGGTTAATGTTCATGCATTTAGCTCTAAGGTTGAAGTGTTAATGATTCCCAGACGCATTGGCCAACATTTTAACACTATCAGACAAAGATTCATACTTGAAGTTTATCAGAGCTGGTGACCAAAATGGAAGGGAGTGGTGAAGTATTGCTAAATCATCTCCAGAAAGTATCCATTTTGTGAATGCCTTAGTTTTTTTTTTTTTTTTTTAATTGATATTTGACATTTCAACCAAGTCTGAAAGATTCAGAACTTAATTGCAGTAAAATCAATGGTGCACCAGAATTAATGAAGTGTGCCTGAATTATTCTGACATAGATTTAATTGCCATAAAACTCCCCCAGCAGGTCCCTGTCCCCCCATCACAGTCAGCGTCTCGCTGTTTGCCAGGAGTGAAGATGTCAAGAGCCAGAGGGACAGACTGCAATTAGCCAGGGTGATCTCACTGCCTGCTTCTCTGCTTTTGAATGACATGTAGCAAACAGCATCTGTGAAGAGGAAAGGGTGCTGGAAGAAGGAGGTGTCTTGCTGGTGTCCTGAGGATGCTTCACCCTCCAGTGGTGGGGAAGATGAGGGCGGAGGTGTGAGGCAGGGGTGGAGCAAGCACTGGTGCAGAGGGCTTTGCTCAGCTGAGAGGTCTGGGTAGAAAAAATTGGTGTTCTCCATTAGGACTGAGTTTTGACTGTCACTGCAGTATGGAAAAATGCCTGCTATAGCCTGGGATGAAATGCTCTGTAAACGATCAGCTGTCACCTATTAGAGCTGTGGCATTGTGCAGACCTGGGGGGGAATAAGGCACCGGGCCAGGGGAGTGATAAAAGCCACTGCGACTGGGGAGTCTGTCCTCCTAAGGGACTCTGTGGTGACAGTGTCCCTGCTCAGGCTTTCTGCTGCATTATCTCTGCTGCCTGGAGAGAAACCTGCCTGAGACGTGGTGACGGCAGGCTGAAAGTCTTCCTGGCCTGAGGGTGCTTGACTCCGCACCTCCTCTGCTGGAGACAAGCAAGGCACCGGGTTTCAACTTATTTCACAGCATGAGGGTTTTTTTTCAGCCTCTCTTATTGCAGAGGCTCCCTTATACAGGGGATAATGATGCCTTAATTAAGAGCAC